TTTGTAATCCCGCTTCTTCTTCTTTCTCTGTTTGTAATCCCGCTTCTTCTTCTTTCTCTGTTTGTAATCTTGCTTCTTCTTCTTCTTTTTTTTCTTTTTCTTTTTGTATCCTTGCTTCTTCCATGACTCTTTTTCTTTCTTCCTCTTCCTGTCGTTCCCTTTCTAACGTCAGTTCTTCTTCCTCCATTTTTCTTCTTTCTTCCTGTTTCTCTTTTTCTTCTTCGTCGTCTTCCTCGCCTTCGTCCTGATCATCTTCATCCTCTTGTTCTTCCCTTTCTTCTTCCTCCTCCTTCTCTTCCTCCTCCTCCTTCTTCTTCTCTTCCTTCTCTTCCTCTTCCTCTTCCTCTTCCTCTTCGTCTTCCTCCTCCTCTTCCTCCTCCTTTTCCTTCTTATCCTCCTCCTCCTTTTCCTTCTTATCCTCCTCCTCCTTTTCCTTCTCCTCCTCCTCCTCCTCCTCCTCCTCCTCTCCTTCTTCTTCTTCTTCTTCTTCTTCTTCTTCTTCTTCTTCTTCTTCTTCTTCCTTTCGTTTCTCCTCGCACATTTGTTCCAATTCCTTCTTACGATCTTCCGCAACTTCGAAAAGCACTCCGGATATCCAACAAGCTACAACATCCGAGAGAAAACGCATTTGTTGCGACTTACGATCGCTCTCATCTAATGGTGTATATTCAAGAACATAACTTAATCTCTTGATTATCACGTTAGCTATATCTTCGTATTCTTCTTTTGGTATTGGACATCTCCAATTAAGAATACTCTTAACAAAACGTTCGGCCATCATATATTGACAAGTTATAGCATCCTTATCTAATATTGTTGCACTCAATGCACCTGGTTTCTTAGCTATTCGCGTAGGACGATTAAACTTACGTTCCTTTTTTCGTCTCTGAGATATTGTTTGACGTTTTTTATTACGAAACGCTTTTGCTGCTTGCCTGAAATCATCGATAATATTGTCATATCTTATATAATGATAATTAATTAATTATCAATAATTAAAAAATGTTAAAAAATACTTTACTCTGGCGTTAAACAAGTTTCACCCTCCAATGATTTGATTAAATTGTCCACAAATTCGGGTTTTAATCTAGAAGCCCCCTCCTGCAGGGTTATCAACATACGATGTTTCGGTGGTCGAGCTAATTCTTTGATTCTTTGAGAAACTGGCTTAATTTTTCTTATCACTTCCTCTTGCAGACACGCTGGTGGACATCTACGACTGTTTGAAAACATCGATAATTAGTGATACGTAATATTGTCGTTAAATACATTAAATCATCGCTAGGCTCGTAACAATAATTCTATTAATATTACCTCGGAGTCGCTAGCACATCGATGTATTTTTTTTTTGACAGACAATGCCTCGGAATGATGTCCAGTTTTGGAAAAATGCAGGGTTTACCATAAATCATCACTTTTACTTGCTTTTTTTCCTTCATTGCTGCCGTTGATGCTTTTTTTCTCTCGCAACATTCACTCTCCGCCATAGATTTCTAATCATCCAATTGGTTGGTTGGTACATCAAATGTATATATAATTAAATTTTATATTATTATATTATTTACTTGGGCTTTCTTCTTCGCCGATGGTTTGACGCAGCGTAACCATTTTTCTTTCTTCTTTTCAAAACGTGGATATCCCTCAAATTTGTCATCCCTTTCACCTTTATTTATTTCTTTCTGTATCGAGACTGCACGTTTCACGTCTTCCGGATCGTCATCGTTCATATCCATACCTGATTATAAATTTGACGTCTGAGTGTGCCTTACTTGTGTATTATAACTATTTTATCTTTTTTCCATTTATAATTTTCCTTTGTACAATAGATCATGAAACTTCATTTTATCGACTTTTTCTACGTCATTTAAACGGACCAAAATTTTCAATAGTGTTCCATTTTTTTGTTAACTTTTTTACTTTTGTTTGCTTTTTCTTTTCGATCAAATTTCATTAAATTTTTTTTCATTCATTCATTCATTAAAATTGTACAAAATAATTTTGTTTGTCGAAAAATTTGGTTTTTTATATTTTAGAAGCAAAATAGTTTGAACGGAAAATTTGGAATGATGAATATCGAACATGAACGTGAAGATCGTGTTTTCGATATTTCGTGTTTGATTTCGTTCCTTTTGTTTTATTTATTCTTTTATTTTTAAGCTGAAAAATTAATTAAAAAGTATTTACATATTGTAGTATAATATCTTGCGAACGTAATGAATATACGTACGAATATGAACGTTATCGATCGAGGTGCATAATTATTGTTTAACACGAAACGTTCAAGAGCGTTCATTCAACGTTGTGCAGGATTAATAAACGCGAACGTGATCAAAATTTATAATCTGCTAGTTAGTCAGCAAATATAGACTTAACCATTTAATTACACAAGTTATTATAATGAAATAACGATCGATCATTGAAATATAGTTAACCGCCTACGAATTTGAATCGACTTTCGATACTGATCGAGACTCGACACGACAATTATTATTATCGATTATATTATTTTCTATTTTGATTGAAATAACCTCCGTCTATCTACATAAAAAGAAATAATGAAAAAAAAAAAAAAGAAAAGAGAAAAACAAAAACCTCGATATAAATACGTTGTATCGTATCTTTTATTTTTCTTCGATAAAAAAGAAGATAAATAAACGAAAGTTGTTTTTAACGCGCGCGCGCGCGCGCGCCTTTGGAATTGAAGTATTAAATGTTACGGGCAGATGGCGGTATAGTACAGACGTCAGTGGTCGGATGGTTGTTCCGTTCGTTAATCGATCAATTCGGGTGTCGCTGTGTTCATTCGAAGGAAGGGAGACGTATAATATAGACCGTAGAAAAGGAAATACGGAAATAGGCCGAGATGCGAGAGCGTTAAGTAGAGTAATGTCGGGCTTTCGGATTGGACACGACTCCTTCACTATTGTCTACCGTAATGCATAGATCAGTAGTGTATCCTAATTTCCTAAGAGGAATCATCAAAATGTCGTTGAGGAAACGTTGACGTTTAATACACGATAAAACGGAAGGACGTAAAAAGGCTTGCCGCTGGACCACGGAGTGTTAACTATGATGAGATAACGAACGCAGAATGAAATACAACAACGTTGACTTTCTCGGTTATGCAGTCCTCACATTCACTTTACATCTTAACGGTGCGTTCAAAAGACCCCAACGTTATCTTATTTATTTCATTTTATATTTTATCTTTGATTCCTCGTATTACCTCCATACTCGCTCTTCCCCCCCTCCCTCCCTCCCTTTCTCTCTCTCTCTGTCTGTCTTTCTCTTGCAATATTTTTTCTAGCCTCTCTTCTTAACGTTTATTGAAAGTCCTATCAATTTGATATTTATCAATTGTCATCGTCAACGCGTGACCGCGTTGCGAATGCGTACGGCCTTTGAATTAGGGCAATGCTTAAACGATATATATATATATATATATAGAGAGATAACATGCTCTATTTATTTAAGTTTTTACGTACACTACTGTTTTGTGATGTTTCGTAAAGATAATATTGATTTCATTTATCTAATTGTCAGTTGCTTTTTATGAGTATTTATTTTTGTTTTATACGGTTAAATATTGAAGAAGTATCTTTTACAATTGTCTTCTTTGGAATTTGTTTTAAAGCTTTACAGACTTTTCACTCCCAGATAAATATGCATGTTTTTATAAAAAAAAAAAAAAAAAAAAAAAAACAATTAACGAAAAAGGTTAAAAATAAATGAAATTTTTCTTTTTCTTTGAGAAACGTTTGCAGATAGTCGGTGATTAACCTAATTATGAATTAACAAATATATCAAATATTACCATATTATAATTTTGTACAAAAAAAAAAAAAAAAAAAAAAACTATACATATCATTGGATACTTGCAGTTCGCGCAGAAGACGGAGTTGCTTGCAAGGATTTACAAGGACGTTCTTATGAAAGCGGTTACCTTTACTTTCCTGGTCCGGAACCTTGTACATTTTGTGTTTGTGATAACGGCAATCCAAAATGGTGCAAAGCTGTTATTTGCAAATTTCTTGAGGTATCCTAATATTTCATTACAAATTAATATCCTGCTTGTTATAGCGTGTAATTATTTTAAAAATTATAGATTAAATATATATTCTTATTTTGATATAATTTTTAAGGAAGACTGTAAATCTTTGCGAAGAAGCGAAAAGTGCTGTGAATTTATTTGCTTAAACGATGCTAATGAAAAATCTGATGGCAGTGGTACCAACTTGGTAGAAGGAAGCGTTAACTATGATATAGGGTTACGTTCTGTTGCCAGTTTTGCAACGGCAATAATATCTTTAAGTCTTTTATTTTTCTTAATATATCGCCTACGTCAACGAAAAATTAGAGGTATGTGTGTTTATGTTTTAAAATAATGATACAACAGTATATATACATATAGCTTTTAAAGATAATAATATATAATCGTATAAAAAAAAAAAAAAAATCATGAAATCATTTCAATCCTATGCTACTAGTAGTTACTTAATTAATAATGATGATACAAATGATATTATGCATAAAAGATTCAGGGTATCCCATGTTAGTGTGTGTGGCAGGAAGACAAAGCAGACAATTAGCAGAGGACCAAAGAAATCTGGGCAGTATGGGATATTTAGAAAGAGGAGGACTACAGCATGGCATACCAATGGATGACATGCCTTGTGGCGGTGGATATCCTTTGTGGAAACCGGCAAACAATTATTTTCCACGCGGAGAAGCACCTCCACCTTACGAAGAAGCTGTAGCAGCTGCTAGAACAGAGCAAGCGCTTTTATCTATGGCCCCCCATACTACATTGTCTCCATTAAATTTTTCAAATGGCTATTTGCAAGATACCAATAGTCATCCAAATATAGCCGTTGTAGCTAGTAGTCAAGATGCGTTAAATTCGACTTCACCGATGCCTTCAAATAGTAACGGTGCAAGCACTGTCCCATTAGTAGTATCATCATCAAACGTAACGATCGGTTCATTAACCACATATACGAACTGTCACCAGCTTAATCAAAGTGAACAATCAACGACCCTTAACGTTGGTACATCCACTGCTACAAATTACGCGGCATCTACGAATACATATGAAAATTTGCCAGTATCCAATGGTATAACGAATTTCACTTATCAAATAGCCACAGCAAGTAACGATACTCAACAATTAACGAGTTCCCATTCAACTATTTCGAAAAGTTATCGACAACACACCACGTTTCCTCGTCAAAGTGGTGGTGCATTTACAATATCCGCGAGCTTACCAAGTTCTGAGTTATCCGCTCATCGTACTATTCCGAGAACGCTCACAAATAACACTCCTACGACTAGAATAAAAGATATTATGAGTGATCGTTCTACGGACGAGATATTTCATCTTCCACCGAGAAGTTTGTCACCAAAGAATTTGCCGCAATCAGTTTCGCCGATGGTATCTAACGATCAAGAACGTATGCAAGAACCTTCTAATATATTTTGCAAGGACGTTATAACGTCTGCAACTGCAAATGTAACTCAAATTGAAAGACAACAAGGAAATATTACTTCGCGAAAACCGTGTGACTTTAAGGTACTCTAATAGTAAGCTACTCTAATATACAATTATTTCATTTTAATTGTGACGTTATTTATTTGTAGCCTCCTTTAAACGTTGCTAACGAGATTAACGAAGATGGAAGTTTTGAATCGGTAGCTTGTACTTGCAGTATGCAAACTCTTCCAACTCTGCACGATGATGCGGATGATTATCGTAGCGAGTGCGAAAATTGTAAAAGCGCAACTGGATCTCGTTATTATTTGGATAACGAGGATGAATTAGTTACATCACCGCACGAAACCATGACATTACATAGGAGACCAGAGGATACAGCATCAAGTGCCACACCTCAATATTATAGGACTTCTCTTACACTGCCGACAAGTACTCGTCAACGTACAAGGTGAAAACCCTTTATTTATTAATGATTTATTAATATATATTTAAATTTATGCACCTTCGTCAAATACTCGAGCTTCATAATAAATGGGATTTATATGAGATATTGTTGTTGTTGTGTTGTTATTGTTGTTTAGGAGTACTGGAATTCGTGAAAATTGGTTTAATACCATGCCACAAAGTTCTACAGAATCTTCGGATGAAAATTAAATGTAAAAAGAAGAAAAGGAAGAAGAGGAGGAAGAAGAAGAGGAAGAAGAAGAGGAAGAAAAAGAGGAAGAAAAAGAAGAAGAAGAAGAAGAAGAAGAAGAAGAAGAAGAAGAAGAAGAAGAAGAAGAAGAAAAATATATAATGTCTATATATTGAGTAAGTACCAAAATATGTAAATGCGTATTAAATATTAGGATCGCGTACGCTCATTACAGAGTAAATAAAATTCGATTCGCTTTACGCATAACATGGAGCAGTGTTGATAGCAAAAACTCGATACAAATAATGTTTTGTACTAAAAAAGTTCGTTAGATCTGCGTCGTTTCTGTTACATTACTACAAGTACTTGATTAGAAAGCAGAAATAAGTGATGCACAGAATGTACAAAAATGGTTCTTTATAAATTTATAGTTTATTATAGATATTATTTGAAAAAGTTATAAATGTGCACTTTGCAAACTGCGAATGTTTATGCAAACGCATATTTCAATTGAAAAAAAATTAAATATTGTATATTTTTTAATTTTTGATTGCTATTATAATTTAATCAATAAAAATCACTTTTATATGTATTTTTAATATGTACGGCATCGTAAATAATTGTCATAATTTATGAATAAGCAAATCGTCGATATTTATATTATTTTATGCGACGCTATGTTTTTTTTATATTATACACTATTTATGCATATATGTATATACTTTGCATGTTGATTTTTTTTCTTTTATATATGTCAGTGCATAAACATAGGTAGTTTGAAGATAGCATACCATTATTTTTATATCTTTTAGCTTATCCGTTATATTTACATTTATTTTATTAAATAATTTAATAACAAAGTAACCAAATGGCTATATTATTTATATTTATAAATATAAAAACTATGCGAATATATTAATATGTATATAAACATACTATATATACATACGTATATACATACATAAAAAAAGATCATGAAAGGGTGTGCCAACAATTTGGACAATTTTGAACGTATATTTTGTAAATTTTTTAATCATTTTTAAATTTGAAAATAGTTTCAAGTCAATTTTCAAAACCATAACGATTGATTCATATAAGATGTTTTTAAATTTAGATTTAGGTTCACGAAGAAAGAAGAAACGAATGAAAGAGAAAAGGGGTATCACACTTCAGTGTCATTGTTAGACATTGTTGTTATATGATTCTTTACAAATAATATAGTTCATCTTAACGTAAAAAAAGAAAAAAAAAAAAAAGACAGAAAGTAAAAACAAAAAAAAAAAAGAGAGAAATGAAACAAGGAAAAAATTCATCACATGGGAAGCAGTATTGTTACAAACATTGATCGCATGTGTTTAACAAAAATAGACATATTATCTAGGCTGTACTGTATCCTACATGCAGAAACTTTAAATTCTCGTTATCGATAAGATACGAGCAACTAAATATCTCTTCTTTCAGTAGTAAATATGATACTTTTTTAAACATGATATCACAATAACAATTGGGTAGTAGTGTATATTAGGTAGAAGTTGGATAAAAAATACACACACATACACACACACATATATATATATATATATATATATATATATATACACCCAAAACATATACATATACACGTTTTAAATGGCAATGTATAAGTTGCATGGCATACACAACTTATTTCTTTGATAATTTGTTGTTTCCTTTTTAATCACTGAAATATTTATCTTTCTTATTTCTCGTATCATTTTCATAAACAGTGTCATGATTACTTCAAAAGTTCAGCACAAAAATTGATATGACATATACTGTGTTCAACCATAGTATTACTTAAAAGTATCTTCTTCGTACTCCTGTGATATAATATTGTAGATCATAATAGGAACTTAAAAAAGAAAAAAAAATTAATAATATTAATTGATATTTTTGCTTTATTGTCATTAGTACCTTCGAACTAATGCGTGCTAAGTCGTGTGACTAAAAAAAAAAAAGATTTAATAAAAAGGATAAAAATTAGAATTCAATAAGAACTTTTATGAAAGGAAGATAAAAGAAGAAAAGAAGGCTCCAATTTCAAGTTAGATACCATATGAAAAATTAATTCAAATTTGTAGCAGACACTTTAATTCTATTATTTTTCACAAAGATGTATATAGACTGATTTTGTCAATCGACTAATATATAAGAAACAAACAAATTTTTAAGTCTTAACGACTATATTTAATATGGTAATTCCAGTAAATTGTTTTAACATTATTTTTCGGGCATCTTTATATAATGATATAAAAAGGCTGCGAGAAGAGTGAGAAGAACTCATTTACGCACATTGGTGATTTAGAATATATAAAGCACCAAAATAATAATGATTTAGAGAATAATTTTTATTTTTAGCACTAATCCGACATTGAGATAAACAATATAAAAAAGAAAAAAAAAACTTAATGTATCTTCTACAAAGAAGCTATTATTTCCAGCAAACAAAAAAAAAGCAAACGAAAAAAACAATAAAAAGAAAATTAACAAAAAAAAAAAAAAATAAACAAAAACAAAAAAAACGAATCCAAATTCTGCAATATACAATCTGTTTTTTGTACATAATGTGTCAAATTTTATTGTTCTAAAATATAAGAATCGTTGTACAATTATATATTAAGTGTTTAGACATTAAACGATATGTATTAGATATTAACAATATTATGAAATTAATTAATTAGATATTAATGGCACCACACATGGCGGTATAATCCGTTTATGAAAATTTATCAGTATTATCATAAAGAGCAATATTTCTGTTAAATAAAAAAAACATAAATTATCTATAATTTAGCTATAGCGTAGAAATGAACTTGCAACACATTTATATTTTTATTTTCTTCCTTTTTAATTTTAAAAGATGTTATTTTATTGAACAACGGTATCAAAACTTATAACAAAATGTACAATATCAAATGAAATAATAACAATGATGATAAAATGAACCCTTTTATTCGATTTTTCATTCTAAAATTGAAAAAAATTGTTTATTGTAAAAAAACTTGATAGATGTAAAAGCTATTCGGAATATATTTGTATAATATAGAAATATTATTATGAGTTCAGTAGTAAGTGACTAGAACGTAGAACCAATCAGTATCATTTTGCTCGTTCCACTAGTAAATTTTCCATGAAAAAATTTGGCGGATTTTTACCGAACGCCATTACTACGAAATCAACGTATAAAGAAGGAATTAAGAATAAAGTTTTTGTAAAGGTATATAAAATTAATGGATAATTCATATTCTATTATAATAATAATGTGTGAACTTTAAATTAAATATTAATCTTACAGTAATGAAGAACAAAAGAGATGATAAATGGAAGAGAAGACCAATCGTAGATTAGATTTGTTAGAAACTTTGAAAGAGAATCAATGCCAAACGCAGAGGTATAAGTTAATTAATGATATTATCCGATAAAAATATGTATTTCTTCGATTGAAAATAAATGAACATTTTAATTTTTTTAATAACTGTATTATACGTCGGTATAATCTATTCTATTTTATTTGTTTATAGTAATTGAATGAATACAACGTCTTCAAGATCGTGGTTAAAACAACTTTAAAAATAATATGAAATTAAGAACTTATGTTAGAAAGGTGTAAAAGGTAAAACCATGGTAAAACATGATATAAGTTAGCAAGTTTCTCGTTAAAGGGAAAATATATTAGTTTAAAAGAAAAGCCGTTATATTGGAAAGGTTCTTTCATTTTTTGAATAGTTGAAGGAAGTTTGAAGAGATTAGCCGGTTGGTGGCAGCACTGGCACGTATCGGAGTAACGTTTGAGCGGAGTGGAGGACGGTGCCGCCGCGACGCCGACGTATTTGTCAATACTTTCTCCTTTTCATTAATTTTCGACGGTTCTCAAAGCGATTAAATTGGTTTTCCAAATTGTGCCGGCAAGTGTACAAGTGTCATAACAATTTTCTAACCTACCATTGAAGAAGACTAAGTCACGACACGACTGGTAATCACCGGTGACAATTTTATATACAGAAAGCCAAAGAGATCGAGAGAGAGAGAGAGAGAGAGAGAGAGAAAGAAAGAAAGAAAGAAAGAGAGAGAAATAGAGAAATAGAGAGACGGAATTACGAACGAACGAACAAACGAACAATATAGAACGAATACCGATAGTTAGAGTGAAAGAGAAGAGAAAAGTGAGAAACGAACGTCTTAGCAAAAGGGAGAGACTGACAGAGAGAGAGAGATAGGGTGGAAGGAAGGAAGAAAGATAAAAGAAAAAAAGAAAGAAAGAAAGCAAGAAGAAGAAGAAGAAGAAGAAGAGGAAGAAGAAGAAAGAAAAAGAGAGAGACAGTTGATATAACCGCGAAAAGCAGACATTGAGAACTGGCCAGGCCAGTCGGTCGCTCGTGCGAGTCTATTATATGCTCGTCTCTCTTTCTTTCTTCCCTCTTTGACTCTCCCTCTCTCTCTCTCTCTCTCTCTCTCTCTCTCTTTCTCTCATATATCATAGAAAAGAAACGTGCGAGTGAGAGTGAGTGAACGCGATCAAGCCCGAGCCATCTAAGCCAACAGCAGCAGCAGCAACAGCAACAGCAAGGAGAACCCTAGGAAGCTGAAGTTTGCGAATCGGAGCAGCCTTAGTTAGCTTGTTTAAGAAGAATAAGGATTATAAAGCGGTGTGATCGTACAAGTATATACGTCGTGTTCGTCGGATCGTTTCCTGCCTACGAATGCGGTCCACGGTTGAGCCATCGTATTAAAATGTGAGTACCGTCTTGGTATAGTCTATACATATAGACTAGTGGTGGTCACCATCGATAAATTTCTCTATCGTTTTTTTAGACTCAGTGAAAGAGAAAGATAAACGATTGTCCTTAAGGTAGTACGTAAACATAAGAAAAAGAAAGGCTTAACTTTTATTGAAACGAACGTTGCATTCAACACTCCGAATCAAATTTTTCAGTAGTCTTGCTTTTCCAATTTGTGGTTGTGACAAGGAGGAAACGAGTAGTTGACGTTGCAGATCGAGAGTGATATATATATATATATAGATGCATGTTTGTATCTACGTATGCGAGATGTCTTTAAGTTCCGTTCACAACATGATCAAATGTTTATCTTTAAAATGCTGCGTGTCGTAGCATGACAGGACCATGGCACGAGTTTTTGAAAGAGCATTATATTTATAACAACGTTTTTTTTATTCCTCTATTTTTGTTTTGTCGATGCAAGCATTAAAAAAAAGGTTGTAATGCGAGCACACCAAATAACTGGCTGCTCGTCTATTTGTAATTATCGTGCACGTGCTGTTGAAAGAGGAACGAAGAGGAAAATTGTTTGTCTCGATAAACGGGACTTTTCTATATTCTTTTAAGAAGAATTAGTTGATTGATTTTTCTCCTAAAAAACACTGAAAATTACCTATTGAATTTTTTTGAAATTTTGCTAAGTTTAATATGAAATTTTAAATGAATATTCTTGCGTTAAAATTACAGCGTATTCGAGAGGGTTTTTTAATTGTTTTTTTTTCTTCTTTATTATTATTATTAATATTTCTGTTTGTATATATTAATTATCGATTTGTCGTAGATATGCTGAAATATATATTACTTACGTGCTGGTTGTATATCGCTACGGATAATCGTCGATAAAGCGTCCATCTTGAGTGGCGCCATATTTAAATGGTCATACGTTTTACGAACATTGTCAAACATTCGTTTCTTATATTATATTGTATTGGGAGATGTTAAAGACAGATTTTACTTGTCTATTAGCCTATTGTGAAGAATACTTTATTGTCGTATACTTTATACGCCCCTTTCGTGCGTGCGTGCGTGCGTGCGTGCGTGCGTGCGTGCGTTACATTGTGCGTACATTGTACATGGGTACGCGAGCACGTACAGATACACATTGTACATAGATGTTTATGTATTTTGAAAATAATTTCAATTTCATGCTAAAGACTATGTGGATAGTCTTTCTTTCTTTCTTATTTTTTTCTTATTTTTTTTTTTCCTTTGCGATTATTTAGTTTGTCCACCTTTGTGGACGGTCGTTGGCTAAGAGAGAGAGAGAGAGAGAGAGAGAGAGAGAGAAAGAGAGAGAAATGACCTGACGAACAAACCTGTATATCGAGGGAGCTAGCACAGCGACGGAGCTACGCTCTGTCAATTCTTTCCGGACGCCGATGCATAGACCAACAAATCAAAGAGTTATTCCAAAATGACGACTTAGTAAATTAGTTCTACGCAATTTCAACATTTTCATCGAACGAGCATAAGTTGATCGATTAATGGTCGTCTATTCCATTGGAAATTATCTAAAACAAATGGTTTAATTACATTATTTCTATAAAACAAAAGAAATATATGAAATTATTTTTCTTATTTTTGTTAGTATCATTAGATCTCCTTATGAGCATGTATATATATATATGTTTTTTTAGATGAAAGATCTTTTTTTAGGGTATGAGAAATATACATATAAAAGGGGAGGATAAGAATCGCACGTAACTCTGACTTTCATTATTTTCATGCGTCGTATCTTTTCTCTTCTCTCTCTCTCTCTCTCTCTCTCTCTCTTTCATTATTTTTTTTTTTTTATGTATTTCGTGCCCTCCTAGGAGAAGCCTATTTTTGCTTGCGTCGATACGATGTCGACGTTGATAAATCGAAACGCTATGTTTCTGGAATATACGTAGCTTTGCTTTTGTGTTTTACTTCTCCCGCACGTTAATACGAAAATAACTACCGTGCGAGAAGCGCGTCCGAGAAGAGAGAAATTCGTAAGATGCATTTTTATTGTTCTCATCGGCTATATTTAAAACGTACTAATACAAGTGAGCAAGGTTAAAAGATTGACTCACGAGTTTTGTCAATTCTCCAAAACAAGATCCGAGTGTTTCGAATTCGATTTTATACTTTGTATAATAAGTAAGAAGGAGAAATTAGTTAGCTCTCTTTCTTTTGTTTTCATATTTTTGTGAAATGACTAATATATTTCTCAATGGGCAAATATAAACGTTGTCAAAATTGGCGCGATATGATTTGAGAAATTGACATGAACGAAACGTTTTCATTTGTTATTTGTAAGTTAATTTTTGCCAGTCCTCCTTTTGGGGCCTTGTGTCTTTTATTCGAACAATACAATTTTATGAGACACGCGACACAGCAATAGTATTTCGTTTACACGGGATGTATCATCGTATGTATAGCAAAGAGAGAGGTCAACATACCGTTACCGACTCTTGGAGTACTCGTCTTTTTCTTTTTCATCTTTTTCATCTTCTTCTTCTTCTTCTTCTTCTTCTTCTTCTCTCTATTTCATCGCCGAGTGCAGCAAGTACTCGTGTTCATTTTCTATCTTTTTCTTCTTCTGTGTCCACCTCCACAAGCAGTACTACTGCCATCACTTCCTTTCTTTCATTTTCCTTACTTTTCTTCGTCAAAGTTTCTCTGTGGTATAGAATAAATACGAAGTACAAAGTTGCGCCCACGCGAATGCATACGAATGGACAATTATCACGACGATACGAGGAACGTATAGGCGAATGTTAACTGGCCGGATAGAAGATTCAGTCTCTGGATCCAGAGAGATCGCGATAAATAGAAGCAGCAGCAGCAGCAGCAGCAGGACCGGTGCCAGACCGGTGAATGCCGTTATTAAAAGTTCAGTTGAACACATGCGACCGATTTTCTTATAATTTACATTTGGGAATTCGAGTTTCAACAAATTGCCCATTTTTTCCAACTTTCATGTCCAATTAGAATGTCTTTTTTTCTTGGAATTAGAAATGTGATTCATTTCAAATGCAAATCAATTAAAGTTATTTAATTTGATTTAATTTTGAATGGAATAATTTTGTTTATAGGTGCGAAGAGGCGACGGAGGTGGAAACGCATCATCAGCAAACAGCAGCAACGACGATGGGCGTCGCTGAGGACGACACACCGTCTTCCTTGAGTTCTCATCCCAATTTGAACACTAATAATTCCAGCCAAGAAGGTAAGTACAATAAATAATACCCAAAGAGATTCGATATTACTTGTAAGGCAGCCTCGATTAATAAAACTTACAATTAGAAAAGGAAGTTTCTAGGACGCGCGTTGTGTTCCATACATTGCCAATTACGTTTAACCATAGTATTTTGAGGTGAACCTAACGTAGAACACAGGAAACATTCGATTCTTGCGTACATCGACTTAATAAGGTTACAAGTCCTTCAGTTTTCTTCTTTTTTTTTTTTTTTATCCTTCCTCCTCGTTGCATTATGATAATTATAATGATGGAAAAAAAAGTCTAACATGAAATATGAAAGAAATTGAATAAGCGACACTTTATAAGATCGAAGCTCCTTTAATTGCTCGTTTGTGTATTATTCTCGTTAAAATGATTTATTAATGTTAGAGCGAATAAAAGATGTTTTACAAATTAGATACGTGACACTTTCACCCAAGATGCGTTGCAACTTAGGTTCGATGAACCTTCGGATTAACGTTTTCTCGATCCTATTGTTCCGTCAATGTGCCAGTTTAACAAATATAGTGTACAAAGAAGATTTTACATCGAGGAAACGATCTCGACTTGTTAGAACGTTCCTTCTAAGTAATTATCATTCGTCATTCAAATGTCTTCCTACTTTTAATATTTAATCATTCGTAGATCTAGCCCTAGATTAAATTCACAATCTTATTGTATTTACACACAATATTCTAGATTAGTAGCAACATTACGCGTTACATTTACATATTACATATTGCATAGAGCATATTATATAGCAATATTGTACCTACTATTAATGTTTTCTACGTAATCAAATTAGAAACGAACATGGGTAATATCGTATTAGATATGTACGTAAGTAGTTCTCTGTTAGTTTCTAATGTTGAATGTTTCAACATTAGAATATGCTATATCGTACAAAAGCTCTTATGTTCAATCAACGTTAATTCATCTCAAGTTTGTGATTGTCATTCGTAACTGTTTTTCATCTGGTCGATTCTAATCACGTCTAATGCCGATTAGAACCTAATACCATGTACCGTATATAAAATATGTATGCACATGCATACGTAGGACGGACGCTTCGACTCTTGTTGTCTTCTCTGTCTCTCCGTCTCTCCGTCTCTCCGTCTCTCCGTCTCTTTGTCTTTTTTCGCGAACGTGAATAGGGTTCGAAAAGCACATAGTCTCTTTTTTTCTCTTGACCCGAGACTATCTGGCTAGTGGCATCTTGGAAGAAGATGAAAAGTACGTTAGTACACAGAACGGAACGATTGTTAACGATGATATTACAATTTTCAATTGTTAATGCATATATCAGTTTATTTGCATAGGAAGAAGCAATTCGCGAATCTAGGTCGAAGTCAATCTTTCCGCAAAACTTTTTTTCTGCTTTCTCCGAGGAAGTGACAGGACGATACAGATAATAGACGATAATAGACGATAATAGACGATAATAGACGATAATAGATTATTATTATTATTATTATTATTATTATTATTATTATTATTATTATTATTATTATTACCATTAGAAAATTAGGAAAATAAATAATTTTAATAAGAAGTAATTTAGACACAATGCCTTCTTCTAATGTTTCCGCCGGAAGTGAAAGAATCCTGTCAAGAGATTATTCACTCTATTGGATATTACCCAACGAAGAAATATTTAACTTATTTAACGACGCCTCTCTATACAATTAGATGAAGTTTTGTTAAGATTTGTTATACTACTCCAAATATATAACATATGAAAGTTGATGCGTGCGTTTAGGTGATGTTTAGGTGAAATTCAACGAAGCTTGTCCTACTGATCCGCGCCATGTTTCAAGAAAATTGCTATAAGATGTATAGGGTGGTTGTTACTTGGTTTTGTTATACCGGTCATTGTTGCTTCGGTTAGACGAGGCAACGCGTTAACGTTATCAGAGTGGAAATCCGGCTTCAACGTACTCGTCTAACCATTCTAATGATTTTCCTAGATCGCGGAAATACTCGTAGCTGTTAGTGGCCTTTTTTCCATTCTATTTTTACTCTTTTTCTAAATAATTACAAAAGGGAATTAATAAATGTTTGTTGTTTGTTAGCTGCCAAAAGCTTGTAATATTTGAACTTTTCTCTTTGTGTGGATAAATGTAGATGTATAGACGGATGGATAAGGGAACACTGCAGTATTTTAGTTAGCTACGACTGCGCCTTGAAACCTTGCCAACAGTTCACCCTTTCATATTTCATCCCCTGTCAAATGGGGTAGCTCGCGTAAAATCGCTTTCGAGTCAAACCACCACCACCCGACTTATTTTTCTTTAGGTAGAGACCTTCTGGGTCAAGTGTATATCCCGATGATCATCGACGTTCACGAAGGTCAACTTTCTTCTCTCATACATACATACATACATACATACGATATAGATATCCTTAAAGTAATGAAAAATGACAACAACAAAATGTCAACAATTTCTTTGTCTTTTCACTGTGAACGAAGAGAAATTATTGAAATTTATTACCGATTTGAAATTCCTATTAGAAAATTGGTTAGTCGCTTCATTGAATTCGTCACTCTTTTTTTTTTATATATATATTCGCTTTGGTTTTGTTTTGTTTTGTTTTGTTTTGTTTGGCAATCCAGACAAGAAGCAAGCAAGACGTCGTCTTGCGTTCTCGCGTGTAAACGCCCGATGATCGATATGCATGCGGGCTTGTGAGAAATTACGCATTGTGTTTCCAAGCTAATTTTTCATTCATTATGCAACGATGGTAAAAGCATCTACGTACGTACCCTTCGGAGTGGAGTTGCACCTTTGCGAGCAACATGATTGCAACATGATTCATCGTATGGTTCGATATCTATTCGACTCTATACGACGAGTACGTGCTATTAAAAAGAAAGAAAGAAAGAAAGAAAGAAAGAAAGGAAAAACTTTGCCGTTGTTAAATTATTGATTCAATGGTTAAATAAAACAACAAAAATATTGGCTATTAAATAATGTAATACATATATATTTATAAATGATATGAATTGGTTCTTGCTTCGAAGAGCACCAAAGAACCCAAGCAAATGTCTAATAAGACATTGAAGACATCTCGTCATCGACCAACTCGATCATTACTCGACTCTTTTAACGTTTATACAGAGACTTGGCTTGTGTTTCTCTTATAAGAGACGCGTTTTTCCTTAACTTCTGGCCATCGCGGAATCTTAACCGCCGTTTAACGTTTCCGTGCTTATCAATAAAATTGTAAATTGCATTATTAACATTTGTAACATTTTTAACATTCTTAAGATAGATAAGTCAGAAAATGAGAAATATTGATTTGTTTAAATCATTTCAAGACCATTGCTTTAAATGATTATTATGATGAATTGGTATAAAAATATAAACGAGTCTAAAGTTTGCAGCTATTCGATTGTAATTGTGGAAAATATGATGTATTCTTAATTGTTAATACGCGTATTCTTAATTGTTAAATATTCACACGTAGTAATTAATTAGGAAGACTGTGTGTGTTTCTGTCGAGTGCGTTCACTTTCGACGGTCAATGCACGCGAGAGATCGAACAACCACCATTCGTGAGATACTTTTACGCTACAAGAAAGTTGCCTACTTATGGTTAGATAGATCGTTTCATATAATCATTTCGTTGAAGTTAATCTCTCGTTAAAATATTTTCGTCTGGTGGTACGTGAGTGAAGCTGCTTGAAAATAAGAGAAATAAGAACAAGAAGAACAATAAAAAAATGAATAAGGGGAGCTTTAAATGTAGCTTTAATAAAGCATATCGCATTTCGATCGCATAGATGTTGTTTATGATTGAACACGTTCGTCATAGGATTACATTATTTTCTTCAAATTCAATGATGTCACTCGACCTATGCAGAGAGGGCAATAAGCTCTGTTGCGATGATTACAATCATAAACGTTTACGTTTGCATTTTCAAACGGTCTTCGTAGAATAACATTACTTTATTTTTATCGATAAGAAGAATATGAAAAGTATATTAGTTAATTACACTCTTGACCTTTGACGAATATACTTGTGGTTTTATAAACAATCCTTATATAAATCACTCTGTAACTGAAAATATTGTTGAATGAGTTGAAGTGACACAGAGAGACAGAGAGAAGGCATGAAGAAGAAGGCAGCAGGCAGCTGCTTCGATTTACGATATTATTTTATTAAGATATCGCGATAAGCTTTAGCTTTTCAAAAATTTCATTATTTTACGCACACAATAGAGAAAGAAAAAGAAAAAGGAAAAAAAGAAGAAGAAGGATCGGTGATTAGTCATCGATATATCATACATATAGGATTACGTATGTAGTGTCTGTTGCCAGTATGATGTATACAATTAGGTAAATGCATGCGGGCATATAAGTGTATGTGTAAAAGTATGTATAAGAGATAAACATTCGATGAGACAGCATCAGGATGCGCTTCATAAACAAAGGAGGAACCATCATTGAGAGTTTGCTGCTCGACAGTTTAGGTCGGCCAATGTTTCGTGTAATCTCGTTACACCTACACATAACTATATATCTCTATGTATATATATATATATATATATGTACATAAGAGAGACGACGAAGATATATAGGAGCTGAGAGAGGATAACGCCTGCTAATTGCAAACAATACTTGCGCTTTATCAGGCGCTTATTCAGGTGTACCTCAATTTAAAAAGATAATTGGTCAACTTTTTTTTATGCCAAACTCAACCGGATGCGACACTATTTTTTCAACAAATGTTTACTTTCACTTTTTTTCTTTTTTTTTCTTTTTTCTTTTTTCTTTTTTTTCTTAACAAATCATCTAATAAATTTGTGCCACTAACTACCGGCGAGAATTCTTATATATGCGGCGTTAAGGCTATGGACAACAAGTTTTTATCAGAAAGTATATATATATATATATGCATATATATGTTTTAGTGTTAGTTACTTTTTAGGAGTACATTGTACTACTTGAAAAACTTCCACGAGTCTTATCGTCTTTCTTTATCTTTTTCTATTAAAGTATCTTACAAAGAGTATATTCTAGGACGTATATTTTTGAACGATTTTTAAACTGAAACGTATGTATGTATTTTTCTTTCCTACCGTAACATTTATTTATTGTCAAAATTTTCTTTCTCGATATTAAACGTTATCTTTCTACCAATGTGAAAATGATATCTTTATATCTGATAATTTATATCTGATATTTGAATTAATCTTTCTCCTTATCGATAAGCTTTATTTCATCGTCGAAAAGATTAAAGAACTTTATTCAAAGTTTATTGCCACATAAGTTTGACATGTTTTGGTCCAACAAATATGCTAATAAATAATTGACAATGGACAAATAAACCGATGAAATATTTCAATATTGAACGATAAATCAATATGTATTTTATTTTTGCATATGTTTTTACACTCGCTTGCATCATGCACGTGCTCTTGTGGTTTGGAGGCCTTATTAACGCGTCGCGGTGCAATTGTCGGTGCAATTGTCGGTGCAATTGTCGGTGCAATCGTCGTCGGTGCAATCGTCGTCGGTGCAATCGTCGTCGGTGGTCGCGTGGTCGCGCATGGTCGTCTTAAAATATGAGATAAGAAGGTAAATTACTTTGAGAAGCTTTGTTTGCTTGCTTGCTTGCTGCTTGCTTCTTGATAAGCTTTTTTACTTTTTCTTCTTCTTTCTTTCGATTAACAATAAAAAGGACAAGAACATGTATATGAAGGGAGACCGAGTTTAATAAAAATCTAAATAATAAGGAGATTGGATCTCTCGAGTACGTTCTGATTACACCATTACCCACTTGCGCTTCCCCAATCGACGAGCCGAGGATGCGCTTGTAATTGGTTTACCGTAATTAGCATCTCGGAAGGGTTAGTGGTGGCGGTGGCAGGTGTTCAGGGATGGAGGAGAAGAGAAGCAAATGAACGGAAAACTCAAGCGCCGGTCGACATAGTTCTCCTGACCTCCTGGAAATTCGCCAATCACGCGAATAGAATTTGCAGTTCAAAACACGCACACACATAGCTTATTATCTATGTATATACGCAAGGATATTTTGATATACATTTTGGAAGTTTCTCTATAGACAGAGTTTATTTCGCTCCATATAATGGTCACATGGACATTAGACAATGGACAAAAGGAATATAAAGAAAAAAGAAAGATAGACAAAATTGCGGAAGTTTATTAACGAAAGTTAATAAATTCGTTCGTCCTTATTGGTCGAGGCTCGAAAGGTTGCCTCACACCGGTAGTTGCAAGCAGGTAATCAAGGTGGTAGTTGGTATCATTGTTCCTCAGTCGGTTCGAACGCTCACAAAGGATACTTTTTCTCTCTCTCTCTCTCTTTGTTCGCATATTGAACCGAGAGAGTAGGGTAGATAAAGATAGAAGGAGAGTTGGCCGCCTACGCGTATAAGTGTTTCGTCGTGGTGGTAGTAGTAGTAGTAGTAGTAGTAGTAGTAGTAGTAGTAGTAGTGTAGTTGTGTCGTCGAATTGCGAGGAGTCACGTCGTCGTCATTTTCTCTCTCTTTTCTTTCATAAAGAAGGGAGAAAAGAAGGGGGAAAGAGAAGAATTAGTGGGAGGTGTGTCGTCGTGTGTAGGTGACGCGCGTGCATGTATAGGAGTATGGGAGAAATAGAAAGAAAGGTAGTGGGGGAAAAGGAAAAGGTGAGAGAGAGAGAGAGAGAGGTGGCGATAGAAGCACGCTCAGTGGGAGGGAGAGAGTCTTGCGAGTGTTGCGAGTGTTGCGAGTGTTGCGAGTGTTGCGAGTCTATCGCGAGCTTGCCGAGCGTGCGGTTATGATCGCCGTCGTCTTCTTCGTCCTCATCTTCCGAGTCGTTCAGTGGCTTCTTTTTCCTTCTCGAGGGAACAATAGTTTCATTCGCTCTCTCAACGTATTCTTGTCCTTTGGATTTTTCTCAATCAAGGATTTTCCATCGCTGAACATTCCAAATTTCTTTATACGTTCAACTTTTTTACTCGACATGGGTTAAACCGAGGATAATTCAAGTTGCAGAGAGAGAGAGAGAGAGAGAGAGAGAGAGAGAGAGAGAGAGAGTGAGTGAAAGAAGTGAGGGGGTGAGGGGTTGAGGGGGGGAAAGAATATCAAAAGAATCCTTGTATTCCGTAATATTTGTTTTCTCCATCGATTACGTGCACGTGTTTACCACTATTCCCCTCTTATTACACACGCATTACACACGCATTACACACGCATTACACACGCATATAAAGTGAAGGAAGCGTTTGGTTCTGTTATGAAGAGAACCTTTCGAAATCGCGCGTCTTTTCGAGCCGAGTTATACCGTTAAGAGCACAGACATCGGACGAATTCACCGTTAACGTAATAAGAAGTAAAGTGTATCGTTGAGAAAGAAAGAGACAAAGAGAATATATTATGTATGTATGTGTGTATATGTAAACGAAGTACCTTGAAACTTACCAAATAATAATAGCGATTTTCTCTTGGACGAACTTCTTTCTCTCTCTTTCTCTCTTAGCATATACGTTAAAGTACATTCCTAAGTACACCATTCTTACACTCGCGTGCATAAGAAGCCAAAAGAGAGAGAGAGAGAGAGAGAGGAGGGAGGGAGGAGGGTATTCGTGGCCATCGGCCAAATAACCAACCAGTCTACTTCGATCGAAAGCACCAAGAGAAAGGGAAAAAGATAAACGAAGAAGCTTTCTTCTCCTTCTTCTCCTTCTTCTCCTTCATCTCGTTATCGTTACTAGACGATAACACTAGGCGTCTTCACTTTCCCTACAATCTTTTGCAGTTTAAGCAAAATTCAACAAGTGTGGAGTACGTTTGAATTCTTTCCTTCCTCTTACCGTCAAATAATAATAATAATAATAATAATAATAATAATAAAAAAGAAGAATAGAGATATAAAATGCTATATGAAGTTTTGAATCACTCGTGAATCATCGTTAACTGTAGATTTTGTTTCCGTTTATATAATTTACCGAAAGAGTTAGAAAACGTTGTTTACCTTGTTGAGGTTAGAGATCGTACGATCAAACACGCGCTACTTGGTATCTTACGTAAGGAAGAACAACGTCGTTCCACCGTGATAACTTTGCCAGAGAGCCAGCCTCGTCATACGATTTCGTTTCTTTTCTTCATGAGAGAAAGAAAGAAAAAGAGAAAAAGAGAAGCTCGCTGGACGAGTTTCCAGAACGCTCTGTGCATATTTATTTTTTATTTTCACTAACACTTTTATATTAGTGTGTGTGTGTGTGTGTGTTTTAAATGTGATTCAATAAGAAAGAAAACAAAGTGCGGATTAATTGACAATAAATTGCTGCTCAATTTGAGAATAAAACTACAAGAGAAAGAGAAATATTATTGTAATCGTTTGAATGACTTTTCTATTTTGCGGATTCGTCTTCTTCGATTCGTCCGACGAGAAGACGAAACAAATGCCTGTCGCCTCGGAGGATTGGGTGGGCCACCCTCCGAAGATTTCAAACCAAATATCAAGCTCATTCGTAACAGTTAAGGGTGGCAGCATTCAAAGTACAATCAACAGTACCACCAACAACACCACCGCCACCATCACCAACGCTACCGGATGGATGTCGCCTTATAGCAGAACGCCTGATCGATCTTCTCCTACTAACAACAACAACAACAACAACAATCATAATAATAATAATAACAACAACAACAACAATCATAATAATAATAACAACAACAACAACAACAACAACAACAACAGCAGCAGCGGCGTTGTTATATTGGAAGGATGCAGACCACCTGCGGCTACCACTGCGAGAAGATTCCTCAGGTGGTTCAGTAGACTTGGTCAACCACCGATGGGAAAGTCAGGTAAAAGAAGGAATTTATCATGAAATATCGTCGATCGTGTTTTAAATCCATTACCATTTATCTGGCTTTTTGCATAAACTTGGAAATTTTGTAACTATGAAAAAGATTGATCATTTTTTTGTGTTTGTTCATATTCTTCTGTCCATATGGAGTTGTGTATACTAGTGTACGCGTATTTTCACACAGTTATTTATTATTATGAGAAGCGAGAAACGTCATTTAAAATTGAAGTAAGGAAACAAAATGATCTTACTTACAATTAGTTGTGTAAAACCAGGCTTCTTCTCTTCTGTCCTGTCATTAGTTACAATTAGACTTTAATTATTATCTTCTAACGCTTTGATTTTATAAACACTCCTATTATCTCTATCATCTTATTATATATATATATATCTCTTTTCATTTCTTTATAATATTATGTCCCATTAGAGGAAGAAGGTGGTGTATAGTCTTGACAGTATAGTAACTCCTTTTAATCCTAGTACATCTAAACGTTTCTTTATGCGTTGCAGTATATTAGTTGTGTTACGGTAACGGTATTTTTTGTACTTTTTTTTTTTTTTTTTACTTTTACTTCTATGCAATTATTTCTATAGCTTATATTGTCTTTCGTATTTGTATTTGATGTTTTTTTACGTATGTACGCAAGCGTACAAATGAATTGTTTCATTGATCGTCGATAAATTTTCTATTAGTCATAGCAAACTTATTCTAGCGACAATATTTTCTATTTTACGTATAATACTTAAACGTCATGTTTTTCTGTTGTTGTTGTTGTTGTTGTTGTTGTTGTTAATTACAAAAGCATCATTTCACTTTAAAGCCCCATACGGGGCTTTACAATTATATTTTTGTAATATTGAAAGTGTTTAATGCCATTTATAAACATAACTTATATTTCATTCATATTTATTCATTAGAAGCTTTCCTACAATATTTTATAATCTTTATCTTGTAACTTAGATTGAAATATGGAAGAAGATTGTTCTCATTTATTATCGTTTAGGTGATTAATTTTCTTAATAATGAGATAATGAAATGCAAGTAAATGACTGTCGATTAAATTGAAGATGGCTGACGAATGTTTTGAGGAAAATTTGAACGTAACCGCGCGCATTTCGATTACACTCGTAGCTTTAATTTCCGTTCTAGCACGTATTCCTTGCCAGAAGTGGGTCACACGCGTGACGAAACACAAATTGGGCAGTTAGAGAGAGAGGGAGAGAGAAAAGCTCGCCTTACATTAACACAAATTCGTTCAATATTCGCTCGATAGTTTGTATATTTTAGAAATAGGAACGCTTGTTTGATTTTTCTTACAATTGATACGTATTTTGTTGTTCGTACAACTACATGACACCTCTCAAAGAACGAATGATGCAACGACCTGTGTCGTCGGATGACGAAACTGATATTTCATTCACGAATTCGACTTTTGTATGGTCGAGTCACGTTCTTAACAACTCATTTACAGTTACTTGCTTTATTATACCTGGCATGGAATATGATGAGTGTGTGCGTGTGTGTGTGTGTGTGTGTGTGTGTGTTGTCAAATTTTGCTGCTATTGAATTTTCAATTCGAAGATGGATAGATTGGTTGATAGTAACGGTCAAAATGCCCCCCCCCCTCGTTTTCTAACAGCAAAAGCCAGCCAGCCAGCCAGCCAGCCAGCCAGCCAGCCAATGTTGTCACCTGTCAAGTTTTGCACCTGTCGGCTATGACCGAGCGTCCGAATGCCAACTTCTCTCTGTCTCTATTGTGTGAAAGTTACGTTGAAAATTGTATTCAATTGTATAGGTGTTGAACGGTGTCTCGTAATTATTTGTTTGGAAGCTCGACTGAAATAACATTTTCTTGAAAATAACGAGTAACGAGAGCGAAACGCAAGAATTTACATATGCCAAGATAATAACTTCAATAAACCGGTTTTTACTCTTTGTCGATAAGTTTTTATATAAAATGTGTATGCCCAATTATCAGCAGTAGCAAATAATGTAAATAATTAGATTTCTAACGAGTTTGAAATCGACGACGTTGATATGCGACGAATATATGTAGTTACTTTCATAGGGGATTGTTCTAATTTTCACGAGCCTCCTGTGTACCTTTCAATGAGCATTACAAAGAAAGCGAATTATATTGCAGGTGAGATCATCATCTGTCGTTAGACTAACTCTCCTTGTCTTCTATGAAAATTCTTTTATTCGATTTTTTTTTATGTAATTTTCCGAAGGCTACAATATCTATAACGCGCATGATATTCCAAAGAAATATTATACAATTGTGATTAGTTCTTACGCAACTCTCCTTGTTAAATCCATTTACATGAACTTTATAAATCAGAAAAATGATCATGATCAGAATACAAATATATTTATTTGTTTTCTTTGTCAGCATATGTGTCTAAGTACAAAAAGCAGAACGCGAAAGGGTGGGGGAGGAGTATGAGTAGGAGGAAGAGGAGGAGGCTGCTGCTATACTACGTACGTCATTATTGAATGTTTACTACGTCAAGATCACGCGATTGGAAAGTTTTCATATGTAAACTTGTATGTTGGGCCATCATGCTTAAATGCTATCCGCGCGTTCTTCTTCTTGACCATTGCCCTCTCTCTCCTTTTCTTAATATTTTCCTTAGAAAATTCTTTGACAAATTCTTTGACAAATTCTTTGACAAATTCTTTGACAAATTATTACGTTTCTTATTATAATGTGTATTTTAAAATATAAATATAGGCGATTGTGTCGCGCAATCGAAGAAGAGGTGAAAACGAGTCTCTCGACAAGAAAGCGAAACCATCGTTATTTTTCGAACCACGTGCGCGGAACGAACCCTTTCGAAATCCCAAACTATCCTACGCTTATCTTATATAAATATCTATGTAATATTTCCACCCATTTACTTATTATTATTCGTATTTTTGTTTCTATCGGTGAACCCAAAAATGTTAAAGAATGGGAAAGAGAATGCACGAGGTCAAGGATATTATAAGGTACGGGGGAGGGGGGAATGTAAGTTGGTGTTAACGACTCCTTGTACTTTGCCGATATATTGTACGTACACATATGTGAACAATGCGACCATTGTCATCGAGCGAAGATTGCAAGACTCTGGGTTTATAAGCTTGCGAAACTTTGTCTTTCAACGGTTTTTTTTTTTTCTTTTTTTTCGCTTACGACGAGTCGTCAAATGGATGGATGAAACACTATTATTTTATTTTATTTCTAATGAACGTCAAATTATGAGCTCTTTTTCGGACTAAATCCTCTTACATTAGTTAGAATATTATTATTATTATTATTATTATTATTATTATTCGAGAAAAAGATAATTGGTTGAAATTGTCTTGAATAATAAGGAAGCCCCTTCTTCCCGAGAGTTATAACTCTCATTGAGTTCTCTCAACGAACTTACCTTGAAATGACTTACCGTACTTTGTGTAATAACGGGAGCACTCTCGACGAGTATACATGTGTCTCTGAATGGGCTCACTATGCATATCGTATTTCAGGGATAAGTGGGATAATTAAAGAGTCATGTACGCCTGAGATAATTTTCTCCATCAAAAACTCATGGAAAAAGGCTAAACTTGTCATTATTGTCGAGGTTGATTTAAATTTGCTCTTGGAAAATTTTCCTTTCTTTTAATAAGAAATGGAGAAAAATATTTGCGTGTCAAACTCGGACATGCATTATCTGTTGTATATATATATATATAATACAATATATAGTACACGTATCGCCAGGGATTTCTGTGAAGTGCATCGACCCGTTTCATCGTTAGATATAATCTTCCTATATACGCAGAACTATAGATATATAAATACCCTAACACCAAACCACGCAGCTGTTCATTCGATATCGTATATTGTGTCGCTCGTTCTCTGTTGAAGAAAGCTACCACCAATCACTACTTATACCTACGTACGTAAAATATATGTAACCATGTATTGTGGCTTTTTTTCTAAAGGATCATCGCGATGATTCATTGGCACTTAATTAGTCTAATTAAACGATCCACTATAATTGCTCTGCCAAACATACAAAATAACAGGGTAAAATAGTTAAGTACTAACTACTTAACTACAATCTTTCTTCTTCGAAGATAAGTTCGATATATAGTCGAAGAAAATATTTTCAATTTCCTACACTTTGGCCAAATGTTTTTCTGCTCCAAATAAGTTATTAATTAAGATAGGAAAGAAAGAAATCTTTGCTTGGTCGTTAAAATCCATGATAGAAATTAGAAAGCGTATAGAATCTTGAATGTTGGGTCTGATAGTTTCGTTACGGTGACGACGATTCGTCGTGCTCCTTTTCCTTTCGTTTCCTTTCCTTTCTTTTCCCCGTGAAAAAGGAAAAAAAAAGGAAAAAAAAAAAAAAGGAAAATAAAAGAAACAACATACTAATGTATAATGCTACTTACATATTATTTGTCATCCATCTTTCAACAAAATGTCACTATGACTCGTGCGGGTTTCAAATAGGTTTTTTCAATTTGACACGAGCTTACAATAGTTAGCTTACTTTATATGCCTTTAAAGTGGATTAATATTATTTTCGTAGATTTATGTCGTCTCGAGCAAGCTATAATAGTTCATTGAACTTTCTACAACTAATTAACTTTCACAGGGAAATGTATCCTCGCTTTGCTCATAAAAACTGACTGACTGGATTGCTTTTTTAAATGGAAATAGAAAGAAAAGAAAGAACAAGAAATATAGGATAATACGAAAAGAACGACGACTTACATTAGTTCGACGTGTAACAACGAACAAGATTACTTACCAACGTTGTTCTACTTGTTGAGAATTCTTCTAGTTAAATGTCGGCCACGATAATAGAACATTAAATATTACATAAATCTATAGCGTCTTCGTATTCTATTGGAATCTTAGGAAATAAAGATCCTTTTAAATTTCATTGCAAACAACAACAACAACAACAACAACAACAACGTATTTTCATTGTACATTCAATTGTACATTCAATTGTACA